GTTGATCGAATATCGATAGTTATGTGATTAAATCAATTTTGTATCAAAAATAGTAGACGGTAAAAAAATAAACGGTTGATAAAAAAATGATCCGATGAGATAGCTATTGATATCCGATCTACGTGATTTTTTACAGACATATAGTACTCGACGAGTTCTACACATTAAACGGTTCTGATTAGAAAAATAGGACCCGTGGTGGGCCCCCACGGGACAAACAACACCATCCAATCAAAGCCCGAAAAGTAGACAATAATTTCTCATCTACTCACCCAACCAATCACCACTACCATTCCGTACGGCTCCTACTCACGGCTCCTACTCTATCTTCTCCAACACACTTATTTATATAATTTTTTAATATATATTTTTTCATAAAAAATTAAAAAGTTAACCCAAACATTCATATTTTTTTCCTCAACTTTTTAGTCCAAAAAGACAAAAAATACACTTATTTAGGACACCCCAAACAACCCATTTCAAGGATTGTGTTTCTCTCCGATTCAATTTTTCAATTTGAGTGTTTTTTTGGGTTTTTGTAGGTCTATCATAGGATTCACATCGATAATCTAAATCGTTCGATGTTTATGATTCGTCGAGTACTTCATTATTGTAAAACACTACATTGATCAGATACCCATAATCACTTGATCAGATCACATTTGTGTCAACAATTTATTTTTAAAATCATGATTATCATTAACAGATCTGATCAAGTGGTTATTGGTATTCAATCAATGTGATTTTTTGCAAAGATGAATTACTCGACAAGCTGTAAATATTAAACGGTTTGGATCATCGACGACGACGTGGACTCCGTGATTGGCTCATGAAGTTCAACAACACGCTTCAGTCTAATTTTGGACTAGAGAGATGCTATGGCATTTAACAAACCAAATAATGTAATAGTCTATTAAAATAAGGCATTGACTTCCCTCCAGTCCCAGATCGGAATAGGGGTACTGTTGGGATAGTGGGGGTCTATCACGGGTTCCATTTCGATAATCCGAACCGTTCAGTGTGTAGAACTTGTCGAGTACTATATGTCTGTAAAAAATCACGTTGATCGAATATCAATAGCTATCTCATCGGATCATTTTTTTATCAACCATTTATTTTTTTACCGTCTACTATTTTTGATACAAAATTGATTTAATCACATAACTATCGATATTCGATCAACGTGATATTTTATAAACATATAGTACTCGACGAGTTCTACACATTGAACGGTTCGGATTATCGAAACGAGTTCCGTGTAAGGTAACTATTTATTTTCTATATCTTCTCTAACCATCAGTCAATTAATTATTTATTTATTTATTTATTTTTTCTTCTGTTAGTTTATTTAAGGCAACTTTTTTTTAGATAATAAACGAAAAATTAATAATTTTTTTGATAAACAACTATTCATTTTCTTATATATTGCTTTTTTCTTCTTAAATTCTGTTATTTTTTTTTTATTTTTTTTATTTTTTTATTTTCTTATTTTTTTTCCTCCTTCATAAATTAAAGATTCAAACACAAATAGCCTCTGTTTGGGAAGAGCCTTTTAGGGATTTTTTTTTGGGCTAAAATAGCCACAAAAAACAAAATAAGTTTTTTATCTCAAGAAGACAAAACATTATATCCAATCCATAATCATTACATTCTTTGTCTTACAAAAAAGTCAAAAAAGCCAAAAGGCTTTCTCAAACTTTTTTAGCCCCAGACTAAGGGGTTGTTTGGGATGACCTAAATAAGTGTATTTTTTGTCTTTTTTCGAAAAGATGTGCAAAAAAGTAGAGAGGTGATGTGATGAAAAAAAGATAAAAAGATGAATTATTTTTGAGTTACTAAACTTGACTTAAAATAATCAAAAAAATCAAAAAATCAAAAGTCAACACGCTTCCCAAACGAAACCTATGGCTTTGAAGTATGAATTAAGCCACCGTTTGGGAAGTGGGTTGGTTTTTTGACTTTTTTGGCTATTTTAGCTTGGGCTAAAAAGCTTTGTTTGGGAAAGGCTTTTTGGCTTTTTAGATTTTTGGCTTTTTTGACTTTTTTTTGAAAGAAAAGTGTAATGATTATGGGTTGGATGTGACGTTTTGTTTTTTGTGGTTAAAATAACATATTTTATCTTTTGTGACTAAAATAGCCAAAAAAACCTGAAAAAGTTCTTCCCAAACGGACCCTAAGATAATTAGATGAGGTAGGCTTTGAAGTATGAATTACCTGCCATGCACTGACCCCCGTGAAAATATATTTTTCCTTAACTTTTTCCACTCTTTTTATTTTTATTTTTATTTTTTCTCTTTAACAACAAAAGAAAATTTAAATCTGATTAAATCTCGCATCACAGTAAATTCTTGGAACTCCAATCTCTCTCTCTTTTCCACTTGGTTGAATATTAGCAGGTTTGCATAATCAGACATTTGACACTTCTTCATAAACTTGAATTTTAAATGTCTTCCTAAAAATTTCGATGTACGACAACTTGAATTGCGCTCAGAGAATCATTTCTTTTCTTTCATTAGCTCCTATTCTTTCCTTCCCAAAATAATGGAAAGAAATTCTCTATTTATACCAATTTTTCTTATATACAAGGACAAACAGGTAAAAACAAACCAAATTGAAGTGGGCTAACAAAATGTGAATTACCATCTAAAGTTAGTTTCTCTAAGTTCTATCCATTGAAATAGCCCATGAGGTTGCATTTTCACGTGATGGTGTTGTTGCTCCTCCTCCCCCATGGCTTGGCCGGCCCGGGACAATTACATCTCTAACACTGGGCTTCGTAGCCCGAGTCATCACCTTCCCTCCTAGCACTCTTTGTTGTTGAACCACCAACACTGACGTTGCCATACCAAAATCCGGCGAGGCGAGCATATCTCCGATAACACCGAGTTCCGGGCACTCACTCCATGCCCCTAGCCCTTGCAACAAAGCTGACTCTTGATGGTGCCTCCCAACTATGATTAGGTCAAAACAATCTTCCAATCTTCTAATACATGCAGCCAACCCTACCCCATCTCTCACCACCTCTTCTTGATACGAAAAACGCTCATTCCCGGCATTAGCGCGCCGGACTTGATTGATCAAATCGTTATCGAGCTTGCGTTCTCTTGCGCTATCGCTACCAAAGAGAAGGATGCGAAAAATTGTTAGAGTGACATTTTCATGGTTTGCCATTCGAGCACCGTAGGATAGTGACTCTATGTCGTCTGGGCCGCCAATGTAGATCACGGCGACACGATATGCTGAATGGTCGTGGAATATGTACGACGAGCCGTTGAGGATTCCACGATCAATGAGGATGCCAACGGAGCACGGTGCCTTGTTGAGGACCTTGATGTTCATGTTTTGGATGGCGCGATTCGTTGAACCAATAGAGCCATCAATGGCCCAGATTTTGTGAAACGGCACGATAACAATAGTGACGTTTTGGTTGAGCGCCATACGAAAAATGTCTTCGTGCATTGTTTCAAAATGAGAGATGGCACTGAATGTTTGGACTGTGACACGACCTTCGTTGTAGAGCTCGTAGTGATGGAAGGCATTGATGGTGCGGCCAGACCTAGAGCTGCTTGTGTTTGTCTCGTGGATTGGTTTTCGTTGGTGGGCTATGAGCATTGGGGTGCTCCGGCCCGCAAGCTCAACAAGAAGGAGGGCAGTAACTACAATGGGGCTCTCTTCAGTGGCGTTGGAGGCTTCTAGAAGGTTTACGATTGAGGGCACGTTGTCTTGGTTATGGATGCATACTAGAATTCGCAGCTCTGCGTCGCGCTTCGCTTGTTGAATGTTCTTTCTTTTGATCGGAAGTTGATGCCTAGATGGATCATAGAGGAATCGTATCAGCGGTGTTGTGATTCCTGTCACTACTATTACTGAGATGACAGACAAAGTGAACTCTTGATCGGTCAGAATCTGCAATATGAAGAGATTAGAATCATTTTAAGATTAGAAATAATAACATAAAAAAAAAAAAAAAACAAAAAACACAAAACACTCAATGGAAGCAAATGGCGTGAGATTTTAGTATCAGACCTTAAATAGGCCTAGGATCCTCTACTCTTAACCCCTTTCTATCCCTTTGTTTCAAAACACTTATAAAAACACTTGTATCTTTTAGATTGATCATGAGAAAATCTTAAGTTCAGAAATCTCAAGACATGATGCATACCATCAAAATAATCCTAAAATGGGTGAATAATAGGCACTTAGAAAAAGTATTAAAAAGAGTGGAAATTATCTAGTATTTCGGCAACATCACATGGCTTTCTACCCAACCAATAGTATTTTGTAAGTTTCCCATATTGTTTCTATGTTTTCGAGCCATGCAAGTTCATAATGCGTTGTTAGTGGATGGGTAGATCGTCAACGTGGAATAATCGATAATTACTCAGAAGTAGAAAAGGGTTAAAGATTCTCTATTTTCATATATCTTTGTTCTATTGTTTTAATCAGTTCTTAGCCATATAATTATGTGAGAATATTGAGATACGAAAATCTCAAGATGTGATTTAATGATTGAAAATGTATTTGAGATAGAGGGATAAAAGTTTGGGGAAGGAGGATCCATTGAAGTATTAAAATGAAACCAATCCATAAAATTTAATTTTTAAGCACATTTTTGGGATTTGGAGCATGGGAAGCAAAAAATTATTAGTTTAGAGTTTCACACCTCACCATGTCTCCACAAGTTGAAAACAACGAGCTCACAAATGCCTCTGATATTCATCATCAACCCAAGCACAACAGCTTCTTGTACTGGTATATCAGTAAAGTATGTAGGCAATAATACAGCCCCAATCTTAACAAAGCTTGAAAACAAAACCAAGAACATCACAATCCAAGCAGACTGCAAATGAATCTTGAATACATTTGTTTTCAATCCACTGACAGTGAGAAATGTAGGATATAGAAACCCCGAAACCAAACTATCCAGCTTTGCCACAATGGCGGCTCCTAATGGCGGCCCTTCGGGCACCGCCAACCCAAAAATCAACGGTCCCAAGATAAAATGTTGCCCAATCGCCTCGCTTGCAAAACCGGCTACAATAACCATAGTAAATATTAAACTCATATACTTCTCCCCGATAACTTTCCCTTCAGGTGTGCGACTTTGAAACCACACTGCCGTTGGCCGGAAAAAGTACACCGCCACCACCACCAGAGCCACTGTTGATAAAACTGCAAGAAATGCTCGTAATATACCGGAGTTTCCAATCATTGAAAATCCAACCGCGGTTAAGGCAATGCCAATTACATCACAGAACATTGAGGAGGAAATTGCGAGGCGGCCTAGGTCGGTGTTGAGGATCTTGAGCTCGGTTAGTAGGCAAGCAATGTTGGGGAACGGTGTTAGGCTTTGCGCCGCTGCTATGAAAGGAAGCGAGCTCGCAAGGCTGTCATCCATGGGGACGTAGGTTTTGAGAAGGAGAGAGAGTGCAATGCCGAGTGAGAGTGTGAAGAACATTACCGAGATGCCTATGGCCATGGCGATTCGCCCCGGTTTAACCATCATGCTTGAGTCCATCTGAACTCCTACTTGGAAGAAGAAGAACATGAGGCCGAATGTGGCGAATGTTTCCATGACCATGGCGCCACTCGGAGGAAACAGCCTAGAGCTTAAGACAACTTCATGTCCCAAGAGTGAGGGGCCAAACACTATGCCAGCCTGCTAGGCACAAGTAAAATTGTTAGTTCAATCATATAGTTGAATGTGTTTTGACCAAATTTACAAGGATAAATCATGGTTTTAAATAATGGTAACCATATTATGTATCATTATTGCCGATATGTCGGCTAATATCGACCGATATATTGACAAATATTGACATTTGAATTCTAAAATTCATATGTAATAGAAGATATGGTACATAAGGATCGATATTTAACATGTGAAACAAACAATTCTACATTTTAATAACTAACTAATATGCCTTTCTTTTTAACTGAATTACATAGCCTATTTTGATTAATTAGTCATAGAGGGTTTGATGCAATTGAAAATGGGTGAGAATCCTTACTATAAGTGGGATTCCTGTGTATTAAGTACGATTTTTTTAGCAACTTTATTAGTTTCTCATAGAAAATCGCTGTTAATAATAAAGATATCATAAACAACTAACAGGGATTTGAGCCAGCCGCAAATATTTTTAGCAAAGGTTATTGAGTGAGTTAAGTCAAGCTTCAACTTAATTTATAAAGCTATTTGGCTGTGGTGAGTTTCAACCCTGTAAAATCATATTGAGTATTATCTCATTGTGAAAATACAAATATTCTTTCCTCTTGCTTGAAAAACTTAATTTACGCTATCTGATTGGTTTGGTTATCCTTAGAAAATCCTATTGAGTATTATTCCATTGTGAAAATACTAATATTCTTTCATCTTGTTTGAAAACTTAATTCTGTGCTATTTAATTGGGATTTGTTAGCGATATTACTACTCACTTTGTGAGTGTCTTTTCTATTTCTTCTTGAAGTGTAAATAAAAGTTTGTGTATCCTCTAAACCATGAGATATAACAATATTTTTATAAAATTTTTAATATAAACGAGTGTATATATATATATATCTTTCTTGTGGATCCATTGATCCTCAAATAACATTTCTTGACAATCATGTCTCACAAAGGCTTTTGCAAAACAAAAATGGGCTACTCTAATATATTTTCAATGATTCACATATGTTATGTTTTTTAAGTTTAATGTTTTTTTTTTTTTTTGGTGAAGATAGGTATAGCAATTAATCAATAATACAAGAATTAGTACGAAAGGCATGCAAATTTATTGGAACATACAAAAGAGAAAAACTTACAAAGATTTTTGATACGATAGTTGATTGTCCGAGTGGTTGGAGACAAAAATCAATCAACACGGTGGTGAGGGAAATCATAGAGAGTTGAAGCAACAGAAGAGGTGTAGCAAATTTCAAAGGGTTACTATGCTTCCAGATGCCCCTTGAAGCAACACTTTCATAGTCCTGGCAAACAATAAGCGTCGTTCCTTTCATTATAACATGGTACGATTCGGATGATCCTGATGCCATTTCACTTGTGCTGGTACTACAGATCCTATTACAAGATTGAAAACAATCTAGGAAGATAAGTTGGAGATTTGAACAAAAAATGGGAGAAGAAAAAAGATATTGAAGAGAAACTACAAATCTACTAAGAAAGACACATTCCAAAATGGGGTGGCCATCCTCAAGTTTTGGAGTATCATTTTTCAATTGTTTTGAGTATTGACTTGTTTGACAAAGGTTGTTATGAGTAGATGGTCTATAATCAAGGCCAGGAAAACAATTTAGGAGATATTTGTGTGGCTAATCCATATGCCAAACCTTCTCATTACATAGACCTCTGATTTTTAATATTGGTGGATTGACATCCTCCATTATTATGATTATTATTATTACTATTTATATATCAATCTTTCTAGTTACGCAAAAATCAATTACAGAATCATTCACAATTCTTTCACATAGTTGTGAGACCCACGAAAAAAGTGAGATACACTTTATGTATAAAAGAGTTGTGTATGATTTTGTAATTTATTTACCTGTTTTTACACTTTTATTTTGTCATTTTGCCTTTTCTTTTCTTTTCTTATTTTTTTTTTTCAAGTTTGCTTTTACAGTTTTTATTCTTTGTATTTTTATTTATAAAAATATCACCAAATTTCATGAATTATGCCCAAATTATTGGTGGTAACAAACTAAACATTTAAAATGGCCAATTGTATAATTCCAGGGTGATAGAAGTGTTGTGCACTTTCCATGTTAGTTCTCAAAATAAAATTAGATTAAAGAAATTAACAACTGACATTTGCATAAGCCGTTTATAAACCACCTGATATTGGACAATACATGATGCAAGAGTCGGTGGTTGGTTTTTATTTATTTATTTATTACTATATTTGTAATATTTCTAAATGTTCAAAGTGTTGGCCCTCCCTCAAAAAGTTAAACACGGGAAAGTATTATGTTGAATTAGTGTTATCTGTGTATACATTTGTCACTTCATTGTTTAAAAGTCTAATATTTCAACGTTCCCTTGTATGAAATTTAAAATTTTATATTCCCTTTTTTGGTTATGAAGTATATATATATATATATATATTTAAATATTTTTAAAATTTTGAAAACTATTGTCCTAACTCCTACCAATACATGTAGTTTATAAGTGATTTCATGTATTTTTAACTATTAGTCTTAACTCAAAATAGGCTGAGAAAAAATGATGTAATGTGTGCTTGCAATGGGTGTGTAAGAGAAGGAATCAAAGAAATAGAAGAGAAAGGCAACGTAGGAAATAGTTTTTGTGATGTCTCTTTTGTGGCCCAGGCTTGACTCATGAATCGAATACCCTTCCAAATTTATCAGATGTGATTGTTTGTGATCTTTTAATTTCAAAAGGGTAAATTACACTAATTTCCTTTGAGGTTTTAGATAATTGCAAGAATCCTCTTGTTGTTTCAATAATAACATTGATCTTTCTTTACTTTCAAAATTATTTTCAAAATTTGTTAGGCAATTTAACGGAATTTGCTGATGTCATTGATTATGACCATTGGTCTTAGAATCAACGACATCAGCAAATTCCGTTAAATTGCCTAACAAATTTTGAAAATAATTTTGAAAGTAAAGAAAGATCAAAATGTTATTATTGAAACAACAAGAGGATTCTTGCAATTATTAAAACCTCAAAGGAAATTAGTGTAATTTACCCTTTTGAAATTAAAAGATCACAAACAATCCATCTGATAAATTTGGAAGGGTATTCGATTCATGAGTCAAGCTTGGCCACAAAAGAACATCACAAAAACTATTTCCTACGTTGCCTTTCTCTTCTATTTCTTTGATTCCTTCTCTTACACACCCATTGCAGCACACATTACATCATTTTTTCTCCGCCTATTTTGAGTTAAGACTAATAGTTAAAAATACATGAAATCACTTATAAACTACATGTATTGGTAGGAGTTAGGACAATAGTTTTCAAAATTTAAAAATATTTAAATATATATATATTATTATATACTTCATAACCAAAAAAGGGAATATAAAATTTTAAATTTCATACAAGGGAACGTTGAAATATTAGACTTTAAACAATGAAGTGACAAATGTATACACAGATAACACTAATTCAAAATAATACTTTCTCGTGTTTAACTTTTTGAGGGAGGAGCCAACACTTTGAACATTTAGAAATATTACAAATATAGTAATAAATAAATAAATAAATAAAAACCAACCACCGACTCTTGCATCATGTATTGTGTAAGTCCAATATCAGGTGGTTTATAAACGGCTTATGCAAATGTCAGTTGTTAATTTCTTTAATCTATTTAATTTTATTTTGAGAACTAACATGGAAAGTGCACAACACTTCTATCACCCTGGAATTATACAATTGGCCATTTTAAATGTTTAGTTTGTTACCACCAATAATTTGGGCATAATTCATGAAATTTGGTGATATTTTTATAAATAAAAATACAAAGAATAAAAACTGTAAAAGCAAACTTGAAAAAAAAAAATAAGAAAAGAAAAGAAAAGGCAAAATGACAAAATAAAAGTGTAAAACAGGTAAATAAATTACAAAATCATACACAACTCTTTTATACATAAAGTGTATCTCACTTTTTTCGTGGGTCTCACAACTATGTGAAAGAATTGTGAATGATTCTGTAATTGATTTTTGCGTAACTAGAAAGATTGATATATAAATAGTAATAATAATAATCATAATAATGGAGGATGTCAATCCACCAAATAAAAAATCAGAGGTCTATGTAATGAGAAGGTTTGGCATATGGATTAGCCACACAAATATCTCCTAAATTGTTTTCCTGGCCTTGATTATAGACCATCTACTCATAACAACCTTTGTCAAACAAGTCAATACTCAAAACAATTGAAAAATGATACTCCAAAACTTTAGGATGGCCACCCCATTTTGGAATGTGTCTTTCTTAGTAGATTTGTAGTTTCTCTTCAATATCTTTTTTCTTCTCCCATTTTTTGTTCAAATCTCCAACTTATCTCCTAGATTGTTTTCAATCTTGTAATAGGATCTGTAGTACCAGCACAAGTGAAATGGCATCAGGATCATCCGAATCGTACCATGTTATAATGAAAGGAACGACGCTTATTGTTTGCCCAGGACTATGAAAGTGTTGCTTCAAGGGGCATCTGGAAGCATAGTAACCCTTGAAATTTGCTACACCTCTTCTGTTGTTCAACTCTCTATGATTTCCCTCACCACCGTGTTGATTGATTTTTGTCTCCAACCACTCGGACAATCAACCATCGTATCAAAAATCTTTGTAAGTTTTCTTTCTTTGTATGTTCCATAAATTTGCATGCCTTTCGTACTAATTCTTGTATTATTGATTAATTGCTATACCTATCTTCACCAAAAAAAAAAAAAAACATTAAACTTAAAAACATAACAATGTGAATCATTGAAAATATATTAGAGTAGCCCATTTTTGTTTTGCAAAAGCCTTTGTGAGATCATGATTGTCAAGAAATGTTATTTGAGGATCAATGGATCCACAAGAAAGATATATATATATTATACACTCGTTTATATTAAAAATTTTATAAAATATTGTTATATCTCATGGTTAGAGGATACACAAACTTTTATTTACACTTCAAGAAGAAATAGAAAAGACACTCACAAAGTGAGTAGTAATATCGCTAACAAATCCCAATTATAAATAGCATAGTAATTAAGTTTTCAAACAAGATGAAAAGAATAAATTGTATGGCGTTCACCATAGTCCTTTTGGTTCAATCTATAAAACAGTTCGGTTACGATTCGTCGAATGGGAGTGCCTATGGCCTATCTTCACTACATCAATATGATACTCAATAGGAATTCCTAAGGTTGATAAAATTTTTTTCCCTAAAATAGGCCAAATACAGATAGGGTGACAAGCTTTTTTATTTACGGCCAAGAAAGTGTGTATAATTTTAATTAGACAGCTATGTTTTTCAGCAGCAAAGAGCCGGAATAAATACAAGCAAATATTGGGTGTGGTGCCCATTTTCACAATCGATGATAATTATATCTCAAATCAATTCTCGCATGATACACAAACCGTGCTTCAGATGCTCTACTAGTGTGCTGTTGCCTGACGTCCGATTTTTGAAATCCTGCGTAGCTCCAACACCAGGGTTCCACAATAGCTTTATAAATTAAGTTGAAGCTTTATGAAAATTTGATGACTTTTTTAACTTCATGAACCCCTCCAAAAAGAGACCATGTTGCCCGGATTCTGCCAAAATCTGGGCAAATCGTTTTGGAGACAAAGATATTAGATAACAGTATTTTTTTATGAAAAAAAATAATTATAAGAGCAGAGTGCTTGGGCCCATAGTCATGCCAAACAACATGATCTGGACTTCTTGCCAGATTAAGAGTCGACAGCCACCTAAATATTTTAAAATGGGAAATTTAGCGGAAAATCCCTGACTCCGGTGCATGGGAAAATCGGCCACAACCTTCCCGCTCGATCACTCGGATGTGCTATTTAATTAGCCTGTGGTTATATGAATATCTTTGGATTTGTCTCGAGTGTCAAACAGGCGGGAGCTTGGGTGGATTTTCGTAACGATCGAGTAGGATAAAGAGGAACAAATTCTAAAACAAAAAGGAGGTCAAAAAGCTTGCTATTAAAAAATATAACCTAACGAATTAAGAGATGCCAAGTCTCTTAATCGAGACAAACCCTCACTACTCGGCCCGCCCGTTAGTGAACATTCCCGAAGGACCAGGACCATCTATTCTACCCATAAACCGTTGATATCCGTATTTTGAAAAGCTTTATGTGTTGTTTATTAGGGAACTCCACCTGAATTTTCCATTTATTTAGCCTATAGAATACATGTTATGCGTGCAGCAAACATTAATCTGTAAGGATTACTTTGCTCACCTCATGTTCATAAGCTAAGCATGAACAAGTTATAGCAGTATGATTCTGAACCCTTCCTAATTTGGATAACGGAGATAAGCATTGCAATATCCGTTTGCG